TAGGATTATTTAGAATGGATAAATTACCTGTTTGTAAATCAGTTAAAAGCCTGTGTTAAAAACATTTTAATAAAAAATGAAATGGAATTTATACAAGTTAAAAAATTTTTGTAGAATAGAAGAAAATGTTTCATCTCAAGTGAAGATTTTGCTTCTCTTGCTGCCCACAAATACTAGTGTCCATCCATGTTTGTGGGAGGGGCGGAAGGACAATGGAGTGTGAGTCATAATTGCTGCACTTCAGGGTGAATATGAGATGTTTTTCTGTGTCCGCTAATGGACAGATGCATAACCCTTTGTCAGAGGAAATTCTAGAGAAAAAGACACGAGTCATTTTCTTTTGTTCATTTCTCAGCTCTCCCCCAAAATCTTTTCCTTTCAACACAAAGTATGCCGTTTCCATTTGCTCGGGTCTCTCTATGCATTGGGTCTCCTCCCTTTCTGCCAAATCGCTATACCATAAACTCAGCAGACACAGAAAAACTTTCTGTCAGTCTATTGTCTATTAAATTTACCTTGGAGAGAGCCTACAGACAAGTTAATATTATTATAACCAATTTAATGCATGCATTAGGATACTAATTAGACTAATTAGTGCTCTGTCTCTCTGAATGATGATGATAAACGTTAAACTAAATTAAGTGTCTGATCTTATCTCTGACTAATACATAGTCTGATGATTACAACACTATAAAAAGAAATAGTGCCGAAATAATTCTGTTTAGCGCCTCTAAATAAATAGCCCATACATATTTGATTAGGAGGTGTATAATCATATGTTATAAGTCCATGACTTGACAGCTTAAAAAAATGCTTTGTGATAAGTAAACATGTGATAAGAGAACATGCTATATTGTGGCAAAGGGTTATGTGTCCATTCTTGTTCAGGTGGGACAAATATGGTATATGGAACAGCAAACATGGGTCTTGATGGCCAAGTATTGTCACTATTCATTAGTATTTATTTGATTGATTTAATCTATGGTTTAATCTACTCAGGGTACATCTTTGGTCATTTACGTGAAAGTTTCTGATTTTTTTTATGTGAAACAAGAAGCCTGATGCCCCATCTGAAACATTAAAGGTTCATCTATGTGAGATTAAAAAAATACAGCAATCCTTCCTAGTTCTTTTAGCTCTCTGTTTTTTTCTTCAATGGTTTGATGAAAATAGTAAGCTTTAAAATAAAGACATTTCACACTTTTTCAGGTGTGCAGATGTTTCCTTTTGACATTATTTTTCTCAGTAACAGTTCCCCCTAGAATTAGTCTAAGCATTTTACTCACCTTATCATTATTTTATATTAGAATTATGATTTGTTTTCTCTGTATAAGTAGAGCTATTACAGCTATCATATGTGTAATACAAAAATCTACAATAGTAAAACATTGGTAAAGAGATTATGGTTTTAAAAATGCTTATCCTACTGAAAATAAAGTTTTTAGTTTTAAAGTCACAAATTTAAAAGTATGTAAATTATTGAATCCAAATGTTCTGTGGGAGGAATACACAGAATCATGAAGACCCGTAAAAAACAGTTTGTCATGCAGACAGCTGTGCAGAACTTTAAAGCAGGATTATGTTATAAAATAGAACCATGGCTTCCTCATCAGACAAAGCAAATTTCAAGTCATCATCATAAAAAGGGAAATAAAGCCGAAGTGCAAAAACTCAAAGACATGGCTGTCCACTTTAACTCATTGGGCAAAGAGGGCATTGGTTAGAGAAGCAGTAAAAATACGAGATCCAAAGCAAAGGTGAAATAATCTACTGCAAAAGACATGGATGACGGGAAAGAGTCATTGATCTTAATGTAACTAAGTAAAGTGAAGAAGCAGAAGGAAATAAAGTGAGGCAACTGAAGGCTGCGATCCAATAAAAGGACAAGAAGATTGAAGATCTGTGTGAATTTGTGAACAGAAAACATAAAACTGTATTTAAAAAAAACAAGCAAAAGGGTATACCCTTTGGAGTAAATATGAATTAGCATCTCACAAGAACAAATGCTGCAATTGCAATAAAAGCAAGAATCATGGAAAATGAAAGAATCTTCAAGACACCTGGACAACAAACTGTAAAGCAGTGATAAGATGGAGGGTAAAACAGAACGGATGGAGGTTTTGGTTATCAGAGACATGCAAGATCTGGATCAATTTCAAGCAACTGGTGATCACATTAAAGAAGATAAGTGGTTGGACGTGTCATTGGTATATTTCTCTTTGTTTTATTGGTTTAAAAACAAAAAATACAATTTTCTATATAAAACTAGAAAAATGAAAACTGTACTTTATGGATTTACAAGAATAAGAAATTGCATTGATTCAGAGACCTGCCAATATTAGATAATTCATATGACTTGTGAGTGATATTCTGAAGATAAATATAAAACAGAAGGTAAGTTAATTGATCTATTTTAACAGGAGGAATTTTTACAGCAATTTTCCAAAAATAAAATTGGCAATATTATTTCCCCAGAGAGTTCAGCAGTGTTCTGTTAGCAACCTTTTATATTCCACCTTCTGCATGTGATGTAATCAGTTTTGTTGTTGCTAATCTGCAGACACAACAGCCAAATGCATTTATTTTAATAACTAGTCATTTTAATCATGTCTCACTCTCTTCTACAATGCCAACGTTCCAGCAGTTTATCAGCTGCTGTACCAGAGAAAACAAAACTTTGCACTTGTTTTATGCTAATGTCAATAACTCCTACATCTCTTAAGTAAGACCCCATCTTGGGAAAATCAGATCACAATCTTGTTTTTCTCTGATCAGATTATAAGACACTTTAATAGAGACAACCTGCATTACAAAGAACTGTAAGAAGATGGTCACAGGAAGCTGAAGAAACCCTGCAAGGTTGTTTTGAGGCTACAGACTGGGATGTACTGTGTCACCAACATGGAGAGGACATCAATGCAATGACTGAGTGTGTGACTGACTATATAAACTTCTGTGTAGATAACACCATCCCTACCAGAAGAGTGAAATGCTTCGCAAATAATAAACCATAGATTAGGGCTGGGCGATAAATCAAATTAATTTGGTTAATTCGTGTTTTTTAAAGTCCACGATTTGAAATTTTGCTAAATCGTAAAATTGAGAACTTCTCTACTTCTGCATTTTTTACTTAAGCGTTTTCTTCTGCCGCCTCTTTCCGCACTATAGCATGCTGTACTGTCTACTCACGCCATGGCTGCTGCCCAGTCTGAAGGGTTGGTACCCAGAAAAGGGATTTGTGTTTCGTCGATTATATGGAAGTGGTACGGCATTGACCAGGCCAATGTGGAACAGACTACAGTAGTGTGCAACTAACTTGTTTCAGCATCTCCAGCAAAGGCGCCCCACAGAATGGGAGCAGGGCTCTCAGCTTTGGGAGTGCAACGTCAGTGGCAAGGGCAAAGACAAACACGACCACGACAAGAAAAGACCATAAACCCTGGACGTCTAATTTTCTAAAGTGTGCCGTACGAAAAGCTTAGTGTGCGATGGAAGCAGATGACCGATGCTGTTGATGTTCATATAAGGATGGACATGGTGCCCAGTGACTGAGTAGAGAAGCCTGGCTTCTCCAAAATATGACCCGGTGAGTCGAAACACGACAAGCGCTCTGTGAAAAGGTGGACTCTGCTTTGTTATTTGCATCTACTACAGACCTTTGGTTCTGTCTATCTCTTCAGCCCTACATGAGTTTAACTGTGCATCATAACGATGTGAACTGGGCTCTCAACAGCTGCTGTTTATAAACCACCTACTTCCCAGAAAATAAATACAAGTTATTGACTGTTCGATAAATTCTATATTTCTGCAAATGAGTCTCTTTTTTTTCTTGCATCTGTACTGAATATATAGGTGTACATTTTTTACTGATAAAAAATATGTACAATTATTTTTGGGTAAACATTTGTGTTACTTGCACAAGATGTTATGAAGTTAAGTTTACATTTTTTTTCAATGCCTTTATTGTTGGCTAAAAATTTGCTACTTTGCACAAAATATTTCTGAATAAAGTAAACCTAATTTAAAATACAAGCATGTATTTTTTAATACTTATATTTAAATCGGTTAAAATCTTAAATCATCATCAAGATTTTATTCTTTAGCCACATCGCGGAGCCCTACCATGGATCACAAGTGGTCTGAAAGCAATTGCTCAACAAGAAAAAACAAGCCTTTAAGAAGGAAGACAGGGAAACATGAAAGACGAGTCAGAGATAATATAATTAATATTAATATTAACATTCAGATTAAAAGCTAATCAAACTAAACTCAAACTGGAGCAGATATATACAAGTTATATATTTCACAAATAAATAATATCATAAACACAAAGTTTTATATTAATACATTATAAGATAATTTTTTATAGATATCATATATTTATATAGTATGTTATTTTTCAGTATTTTAAAGGATTTCTCTATGATAATGAGTATTATGGTCAATAGAGGAAAATTAGTTGTAATGTGACCTATTGAAAGCTAATGAGCATTTGAAAACTGCAGACTTTACATGAATCTCTGTCCCTTAATTTTAAAGCCTATTTGAATGTGCAAGAAAACTGAACGATAACACTTTTGTAAATCCATAGTCAAGTGGAAGAAGCTGGGTTCTTCAAGCTATTCCTTTTTCAGATGCTAATTGTAAAAACTTTACAAATTGTTCATGTTAGGAGATGTAAGTACATAAGTATTGATCTGAAACTAAAAATAATAATCGACAGACAGATGATAGATAGATAGATAGATAGATAGATAGATAGATAGATAGATAGATAGATAGATAGATAGATAGATAGATAGATAGATAGATAGATAGATAGATAGATAGATAGATAGATAGATAGATAGATAGATAGATAGATAGATAGATAGATAGATAGATAGATAGATAGATAGATAGATAGATAGATAGATAGATAGATAGATAGATAGATAGATAGATAGATAGATAGAAAAAATTTAATAACTCATCTCTATAAATGAGCACTAAAACAAAACTCAGGTATCAAAAGTTTTTTAATTTATATAAAAGCATGGATTTGTTTTCAAACTGTACCATTACTCTGATCTAAGTCACAAAAAAAGCCAATAAGCACATATTAAAAACATTTTAAGATTCACCAAATGTTTTTTTCCCTAGTGCATTTTACCGTCGGTCACTAATACGTTCATGTAATTCACCATTGCTCATAATCATTTTTTTTCTTCATAGGGTGAAGAAAGTACTGACTTGGACGCTTCACTTGAAGCTTTCAAGCAAACATCTAAGCTAGAGAACTGATGAAGAAGAGAATCATCAACAGCATCTTGAGCTAATACTGTTTTCCTCCCTTGGGAGCCAGTTGATCTAATGGTCTGGCAGAGCATCATTATAGCGAGACAGGATATGTACTGAGCGTCAGTAACAAAGACGTTAGATCAGACAGCAAACAGCTGCTGTCCTGTAGGACGTAGATGGAGAGGAACACATCACAATTCTCAGACAATTGCAGAAAAATGTTTCCCTCATTTCTTTTCATCTTCATTTCTGCTGGTAGAAAATATAACTGAATGACTGGTAATAAAGCAGCTTCTGAGCAGAACATTGTGCCTGAAGAGGCCACACACTGCTGGATTTTTTTGGTCATTCTCTCCATGTATTACCGGAAAACTACAGAAAATAACTCAGAGAATTATGTCAGCAAACAATCTCAGATGTCTTCTGGTTTAAAATCACTTAAAACACATTAAAAATACTGTCATTTTCAGAACCAGATAAATATGCTTTTAACAAACTACATTATAAATATGAAGTTTGTCAAATTTATTTTAAAAACATTAGTAATCCAGTGGACCAGATGTTAGTCATTTTCTGTTTTACAGCCACTATCTGTGCTTTTTCCCTGCATTCATCTTCTTCAAAGCCTTAATCCATGCAGGGAGATTGGAACGTCTGGCTGGCAGAGCCTCGTCTATTTCTCCCTGCATCCCATCATAGTCCGGCTCAAATAAAGAGTCCTCATCTGCTGCAGAATCCTCCTCTGAGTCTGTAACTTCCATGTCCGGAGATGCTATGGTGACCACCTGCTCGCAAAAATGAACCCGGCGCTTCTCCTCCACACGTCTCTGAGCCGCAGAAACATGAAAAATGGAAAAATAAAAGTCAGTTTGATCTCCAAAAGGTCTCCAATTATCACTTCTAGATTAAATGGGTTTATCATTCTGTTCTTTCTTCATTCTTGTTTTTTTTTTTTTTTCTTTTGGGAACAATATGATCTGCATGTACTTTAAATTGAATAACATACCAAAACTATAACTTATCAACAGTATTAATATTACTTTATTTGCCATGTTTATTTGCCAGTTGCCTTCACATTTCAAAGCTTTACACCACATGGAGGCGCCATCCTTCACAACATCTTACCCGTTTTGTCAGCGTTTCCATTGAGGATTCGGCGTCGTGCATCATGCCATGTCTGAGGACACTCCGAGGCGGAGGTGCAGAGGGATTAAATGATGTTGGAGACAGAGGGGTTGGTTGGGGCTTTTGCTCATGTGAAGGTGAGATGTTTGCATGCTGGGGCTCCACTGATTCTTCCATCAGTTGGATGTTGGTTGAGGATGAAGATGAGAGTATCCCGGCTTCATCACAAAGAAAAAAAAAAGAGAAAAAGTAAATAAATGCCATTGTAAGCAGCCATTACTGGTAAACTCTAGGCAACAATTTTTTTCATCAAAATATAGATTAAAACTGCTACCAACTGGTAACAAAAGATCTTAATAATAAATGTGTATCAAGTGAATATGTGAGTACTAAGTGAGTATTATTCAGGGCCGGCCCAAAGCAAGACAACCCAAACTACTGCTTAGGGCCCAAGTGCAACTAGGGGGGCCCCAACAACAACAGTTTGTTTTTTTATGAATAATGATTTCTATAAAAATATAGTAACAAAACATACAAGTTCATGATAAAATGTTAAATTTTTTATATCAATATATCTTTAACCATGTAAGAATCATTACTTATAAATAAAATTTAAAAAAATGTGTGTGTGGTCTGATCATGTGACCGTTATAGCTTCAATCGAGATCATTGGCAGAAGTAGAGGGCCACCCGAATCAAATGTTGCTTAAGGCCCCATGGAGGCAGGCTTAGTCCAACCCTGGGATTACAAAGGGGATTCTTGCTAAGAAAGTATCCCACTAGTAACTTATAAAATATATTGTAGATAAATCCCCATCCCAATATCAGCGTGTCCAATAATTCTATCATAAAGAGCTACTTTGAGTGATAATTGTTGGCTTACATATTTTAACTCTTATCAACTTGTATTTTATGTGTGCTGAGGTGATCTTCAGTCTCACAACAGAAGATCAGAAAGAGAGGTTTAGCAAATAAAAGGCATGTACAGAAATTAGTTATCAGTATATCAGTATAAGTACAACATACATATAAGTATGCTTGCAAAACCTCTTAGTGTTCAGTACTCTGTAGGTATCCCTTCCCTTAATATTTTATTATATTATTAGTATATTACAGACAACACCAAAGCAAAACCCTGCATAATTGCAGCATATACATCTAATGCTCTGAACTTCCATATCAATGTGGTTTTTTGCACCATGTTTTTATTTTTTTTCTTCTCCCACACTGTTACATTTGATCACTGCTAAGAAATGGAAATGTCATGAAGGTTGTACAAAACAAAATTTCAATAAAAGTCGTCTTAGTCTAAAATACTGAAGATACACTGCATCTTAATAGGAAGGATACTCATAAGGTAGTGACAAAATCAACAAAGTCTGGTCGATCAGTAGACCAGCAAAACTCCTCCAAGAATTAATGAGTTTTGCTCATGCTTTACATCAGTAATTACCGTATAACTAATTCACACCAATACACGATAAAGTACTCTGACTATACAGTGATACTCCTGAGCTACACAAATCTTCTATCAGGGAAGTCAGTCTTAGAATAAATGCAAAGCAAAAAACCTAATATTTTTCCCTCATTGCTCCATATAGAGAAAGTTAATCAGTCGGTGTCTTATTAATACTTATGTGTCAAAATTAAACATCTATTATTTTGGAAAACGCAAATTAATCAGGTCTGCTAAGAGACCAACAAAGGAGATATTTCTTTTTTAAGCCTAAGACAGTTTAGAACAAGTAAGCTAATTCTACTTTTATTTTACAACTATGTCATAACGAGCCTTTGCATTATTGTAATACCAGTTGGTATAAAACTCAATCCATTACATTGTAATGAAAATGAAAATCCATTGTAAGATAGAAGGGTAAACAAATCCAAAGAATTGACTGAGCCATCTAGCAAAATAATATACTGTTCTGAATTGTGACTGCAGATTTCTACCATACAGTCTAGAAAACAAGGAGTTTTTCCTCTCCACTGTCGCTACAAGCATGCTTAGTGTGAGGGATTGCATTTGAGTCAATGAGTCAATGCAATCAACTGGTTTTCCTTAGATATAAAACTTTTAATCAATTTGACTGTATGATCTGTTGAACTGTAAAGTGCCTTGAGATGACATGTGTTGTTAATCGGTGCTATATAAATAAACTGAATTGAAACTGAATTGAATAAGTATTTTCACAGGTAGCTCGTTAGCTTGTAGCACCCTGCTTGTGTGATGTAGATGCATTTTATGTAGGTGTGTTATGCAGGTTTATTTAGGTGTGCTGCAAGTACCTCAAAGGTAGATTTTAAGTACATAATTAAGTTCCTTGCAGGTACTGAATAAGTATATAAAATGAATGCCCTGTGAGTAAAGTGTAAGCATCACAGGGAGCCCATTAGTCCATAGGTACCATGTTCCCTGTAGCCTCTTCATACAGTGTACCATCACTGTTTCCAACAACCTTAATAAGTTTATATATTCATGCTGATTTTTGCACAGTTTCTGTCTTAGTCACTTATATAACACGCTGCTGTCATTTTTTAAATCTCTGGTGTTGCTACTCACATATCCATTACTGCAAAAATGTCCACAGCTGTATATTGGTTATTTATTCTGTCCAGATGCACAGTATTAATAATGTAAAAACACTTTACAGTGCAGTATTTAATTTGTTTATTTTCTTAACTTGGTCAATTATTCTTTTATTTTTATACACTTTTTTTAGGTCCACATTTGTGTGACCACTTTTGCTGTAATCTTTCGCTGCTGTAACACTACAATTTCACCTTTGTGAGATGATAAAGGGATTTTCTATTCTATTCTATTCCATTCTAGCTTCTTCATACTGTGTGTCTGCTTTAAATCTTTTACAGAATCATGAAACACTGGTTTTGTGTGCTTTCCACGTTTTTCCGTGGTATGTGTTTTGTACCTGTGTTTTCTCCATCACTCATGTTCTCAGTCTGAAGCCTCTCCTCTCTCCTGTCTGCTGGCTGATGTTGCCTCTTTCTACTCATCTGGAGCCTGTTCCTCACGATTGAATGGTACGGATTCCCTGATGGCTGCAAACAAAAAGAAAAGATTGTTAATGCGGGAGCTGAGGTAACTTACATGTTGGTTCTTGTATAGAAATCAATCGGACCTCTGCGAATGCTGACAGTTTGAGCTGAAGTTTGGACAACATTTCCGATCGACTTTGTCCGTCTTCCATCGGCTCCGACTGGTCAGACTGTTGCTTTAAAGCTGAAGGGTCCATGTTTCTGGGTGGGTAAGTAGGAGCTGACTGTGAGGACTCTGGACTCCTGAAGCTCCAATGGTTGAGCCCAGCCTGATTCAAACTCCCCGGCGACTGATTAAGACTGGAAGGATTTGGCTGAATATGGGGTTGGCTTGATGGGTCAACTGATGGTCTCTCAGTTACTGAGGTAGCGTGTTGGTTTGGGTTAATAAATGTAGCCACCGTATGGTTGTCCCTGACAATCTCATCCAGAAGGTTGAATGACCCCAGGCCAATGTTCACGTCACTGCTACGCCTAAAAAAAACAAAAAAAACAATGATAAGTTCAAATTCAGTTAGGCTTCAAAGACTCAACAATCTTGTAAACTAAGAAACAATATTTCTCTGGTTAATGCAGTAATGAATCTATACATAAACAATAGATTTAGGTATCTTATGAATTACAGGTCAGTACAGTTATTTGTTGTGGAAATCAAATCCAATAACAGTTCCACAGATTATAGAGAGGATAAAAGCTTTATCACAGCTCGGCCTTTCTTCAAATTTACTGCCGATCGCACCTCTCTTTATTTGTTGGCATCCTGGTTTCTTTCATTTTTTAGTATTTTCAGCATTGATTACATATGCAAAAAAATTTCATACAGTACCTTTAAAATTTTTGATACTAATCTTTGTACCTTTTATAAATAAATGTACCTCTAAGTTCATACTTAGAAAACTTCCAAGTAGTTTGGAAGTACACTTCTTTATGCTCCCTAGATTCCTAGTGCATTATTACCAGTGTATTCATGATCAATAATGTATTTGGATCAGTTTTAATGCTTCATATTTCTTCCATCTTTCTTCTGTTTATGGTGAACTGGGTTGAAATTAGATTTAAAGATCTTTACCAATACTTTTGCACTACAGGTCACATTTTGAACAAGTGGTGAGAATTGGAGAGCATGTTTTGTATTAATTTCAAATTGCTTTTGGTTTACCATACTTATTGACATTTAACATTTTAAATTGTTTATATATGGGTTTAAACACAAATTGTAATTAAAAAAATTCACTTCTAAAAATTGCAAACAATCTTTGGGTCTGATCATTCTTAATTAGCCTAAGCATTTTTTTCTTTACCTACCACAAAATATTATATGTTTTCTTCTGCTGTAATTTGGCGTTTCTTTATTTATGCCAAACGCAAATCCTTCTAAAAGGTTATTACAAACCTAAAGTGTTAACAGAACTAGAACAAAGATTGAACCTTTATCTATTGGAAAGACTTTCAATATTTTTATTGTACTTTGAAAGAGTCATTTGTATTGTAACTTAAAAACACTTATCAAAGGCATTTACTACACAATCTGCTTACCATGCACCATTGATTCTATAAGCGTTTCTTTTCTTTTCACAATCTGACATATTCCTTTTCATTAACTCCTCCTTTATAAAAGTGACATTTGAGAATTAACTACATATTTATTGTTGAACAATAAGGACTTTCACATTGTTCCCAAACATTAACCCTTCCTTTAATAGCTGGGTTTATCTCTGTTTCCTTGAAAGGTTTATCTGAAAGAATTAGCACACACCATTGTCTGAAAGTGTGTTTGCAGACATCTGATGACAGGCTCTGTCAGTGACAGGGGCGTTTCTGGCTAATTCTCAGTGCTATGACTGGAAAGATCCCAAATGTCTTTCATAACTCTGGCCAGTTTTTTTAAGGAACAAATAAAAGTTCATTGTTGCTTCTTTTTTTAATTGAAGAACTGCTTTCAGCTTGTTTTGACATTTTTTTGTGTGGTGATTACCTGTTGTTGATTACAGCAGTCTCGTCTTCTGCTTGTGCAGGATGTACATTGTTGGAATCACTGCAGGCTGATGGAGGGAATGTTGTTTCTGTTTCATTGCTTGTTTTGTTTCCATCTATTCCTGCCATTATTATCTGTGTAAAAGTTGAAATGTGGCAAAAGAATTTAAGTTATAATTCAAATACCTTTTCTGTGATCATCTATGATTGACTAATAGGATCAATAAGAGATTATTGCTTACTTGTGTTTCCGGTTGAGGACATCTTTCTTCTTTTCCTTTTTTTCCAGCGTTGCCATGTCTGTCCTTAAATCTCTCTTTGATCTTCTGCGTCCATCTCCTTGTTTTATTCTCAGATGACGGTCTTCTCCTTGTGTTTGTTGTTATTTGGCTGCTTGAGAAGACTTGCACGTCTTTATTTTGTCCCAAGCTGCCGATCCCTCCGTTTCCAACATGGAATCCAGTATATCCTCCACCAATATCTGTTCCTTTCACAGACCACAGAGGGATTTGGTTCTGGTTTTGTGTCACATTTGAAACAATGTCAGTATCAGCAGGGATCTGTCCCGTCATCAAGGAGCTGCCGATGCTCTCCTTCTCAGCATCAGTCCTCTTGAAGAAGGTAAGTTTAACATCCTTTTGTGGTTTAACTGGGAAAAGTTGCCTCGTACCTGTTGGGGAGAACCCAGACCGTGGAGTCTGTCCCAACTCTTTCTTCTCACCAAATTGTCCATCAGTGCTGACTTTCTGAGAAGGGAAAAAAGTTGGACTCCTGTTCCCTTCAACAGAAGGACTCGCTTGCTGTTTTTCATAGCTTTCAAAGCCAGAGTTACTGTTCACAGCTGGGACTGTAAACTCCTTTGAAGTGTTCCCATTAAAATTAAACACATTTACAGATCTGCTTTCAATGTTCTGAAAGCTAGATGCTCCTCGCTCACCATTTTGACCCAGAGCAGGAGTTGCAGATGGGGATACGGGTGCTTGACAAAACGTCTGGCCCTCTCTTCCAGGTTGGAGCTTCAGTCTCTGCAGCATAGACTGCAGCAAGGCCTGAGAGTCTGATTGTTGAGCTGACTGAGACATCTAGATTCAAGCTTCTGTGTTAAATCCTGGTTTCACTGAAACACATTTGAACAATGCAGCACATCCAGCTAAACAAGGAAGGCTTCCACTCACAGCTGTGTTTTATTGGAGCTTGTTACCTGTGCTGGGATCATTTCACTCCTTTCATCCACCTGTAGTAGAAAACACTCCTGCGAAGGCTGGCTTGCTCAAACAGAGTTTTTCAATCTCCTTCCATCATGCGAACACTTCCTCACCACAAAAGTAGACCAGGGCCCACATTTTACCGCTTATCTTCCTGCTGTTTCTTCTCAAACAAGCCTTCGTTTGACATCCACACGCCAACACTTCTCAAACCTTGCAGCAAAAGTCCTTCTTTTATAAAAAAAAAAAAACCTTCTTCTTGCTTCTGGTAAAAGTATCTCTCTTTTCTCTAAAATGTCCACAGTTTTAGTCACACCTCTTCTTCAGCAGCTGCTTCAATCTCCTCTGATGGGAGGAGAGTGAGTTCACGCCAGCGTTCCTCACATCTTACGCACTGAAGCAGACAAACAAGAAAAACCGGAGAGGTGAGATAATTTCACTTTGACAGTAACCCTCCCTCTGCGTGCGTCTTTCTTTTTGTGTTTTTAATCGCCCTTCCTTCCTATTTCTCACTGAGTATAACACATGTGTACACACACACCCTCTTTCTTCCCACAGTAACCCTCCTTTGGTAATTATAGGGAGGTTTTTACCCAGAGTCGCTGCTATTTTTTACCATTTGCATCTTTAGATTGAGAGAAAACTATGATGGTATTTTAGCGACCCATGATGTCTTTATTTAAATGTTCTTCAGAAAATAACTAAGATCTACTGTGCCTTGCTGCTTTGCTTTTTCCAAATTTTGTCTCAACTACAAAATGAAATATAATTTATTGGAAATTTGAATGATAGAACAACACAAATGAGTAAATATTTATGAAGAGGAACAAAATTGATACCAGGTTTTCAGATGCATTTAAAAAAAATTTTGAAAAGTTATTTTCGATTCAGGTCCTTTTACATTGATACCCTTTAAATAAAGTCCAGTGCACATGACAGCCATCAGAAATCATCTAATTAGTCCTCATATAAATTAAGTTTAAATACAGCTCTCTGGATTGCTTCCACCTAAGATTAAAGGCCAGACAAGGGCATCAATCAGAGAAGCAGCAAACAGGCCCACAGTAACTGTGGAGGACCTGCAGAAATCCACAGTCAGACAAGATCATTTGTTTAATAAACTGCGTACTTCCCAAATCTGACTTTCATGACAATGAAAGATTTACAAGATTTAAAAGGGAAGAAACTCCAATTCGCAATTTGACATAATTCCTGCAGGGAATGAATACATGCAGGGCAAAAAAAACTAACACTGAACTCGTAATTCTTATCATAAAGCATAGCGGTGGCTTCATTATGCTGTGGGGATGCTTTCCTTAGCAGGGACATAAAGGTCTGAGGGCTTCTCCTGAGGTAGCATTAGGTACCATGAGGCCAAGCATCCTCTCTCTCACCATTTTGACCCAGAGCAGGAGTTGCAAAAGGACATCATGATGTGGAAGAGGTGTGTCAGCCATGACAGCCCAACAGCACCCAGACACCTGGTCTCTGGGTGTTGTTGGGCTGGGCTGCCGTGGCTGACACGCATCTTCCACATCATGTGGTGGTCAGGGACAGTGGGCCTGGACTGGCAGACTGGGATAGTGGTTCCCCTCCATAAGAAACGAGACTAAAGGCAGTGTTTTATCTCGGGCTGCAACTAAAAATTTTTTTTGTTTATTTTTTTGTCATTAAAGTTATTTGTAGAACATATGTGCGTAAAACCTTCCCCAACCCTCCCCACCCCCCACAGAACAAAAACCACAAAAAAAAAAAAAAAAAAAAACAAGGTCAGCGCATATCCAAACAATCAGAGTTGCACAAATAATTGGCACATATGCAAATATCCTCAATGTTGGCAGAAACAACCAAAAAAGACAGAAATAATCACTCGTCTATACTTTCCAAAACAGCAGTTCGTCAAAGGCATTTAATTATCCCTACATTGCAGGAGAGTAAATAATTAAATTTCTTAACATGTTATGTCATTATGTAGCCTAGCCAGCATTTGCTCATATGACACTATTTCCAACATTAATTCCAACCAGTTTTTAACATTCTGAACAGCTGAAGATATACATAGTCTGAGTTGAATTATATTCCCAATTCTCGGGATACAAGATCAATTGGAACAAATCCGAGTGCATGCCCATATCCTAGGAATGCAGTTCAAGTGATATTATGCAATTTAACTTTAAGGGGATTCCTTCAGGTATAAAATAGAGGAAATAATGCTATTAAATATGGAACCGCTTCTTCAAAAAATAAGAATTAATCTTGACAAATGGGCAAAAATGAAACTATGTATATGGGGAATGGTGAATGTCATGAAAATGGTGATAACCCTGATGTTTATTTATGTGTTCATAATGGTACCTGTTGACATCCCGTCACATGTATAAAAACAGTATGAGATTTGTTTTAAGGACTTCCTCTGGGATAAGAAGAAATCCAGATTTAGCATTAAGATTTAATGCTAAAACCCCCCAATTAAGACTATATAATCTAGATTTTGAAATTTCTAGATGGTTTAGATATTTTGAAAAAGGAGAAACGAAGCTCATATGGATGAATATTTAGAAGAAATTAGTGAACCCTTTCAGACCAATAGATGGTTTACCATGGTGAAACCTATAATAAACAACTAAACAAAATCCAGTATCAGCACGTTCCAAATTAGCATGGAGGGAGATGTATAAAATATGTAGGATGTCACATCTAAAACAGTTATATTCGTCATTGTGGTTTAATCCATCCATCTGTATTTGAATAAAAACTGTTTATTGGGAACAATGGCTTGTGAAGGGACTACTCATTGTGGATGATTTGTATGCAGATGGGGTTTTTATGTCTTTTTCAAATGTCATGCTGAAATATAACTTAAAAAAGATAGTTTGTGGAAATATCTACAAATTAGAGGTGGTATTATTAAATGTAAATTTACACATAAAGATAATCCAATACAGGAATTTATGGGCTTAAGCAGAGTTAAGTATAAGGCATCAATATTTTATAAATTGTTTAAAAGCATGAAAAAATATATATGTAAAGGTCTGGGGATTGGCTGAACTTTTAGGGATGAAGAATGGTTGAAAATAATTCCAAATAATGGGAAAAACTTTAAAGAATCGGGAGGGAAATGTACATATTATAGGATGGTACATAGGTTTTATTTCACACCATCTAGGCTACATAGAATGGGCCTACTTGCGGATACCTTATGTTGGAAATGTAAAACGGAACCAGGAACTTTTATACATGCGATATAGGAATGTTAATGCACTTCCCCCTTCTGGAAAGTAGTATTACAACACATTGGAAGGTGGATAGGGTTGGGGATATCCATGTCACCAAGACTTTGCTTGTTAGGGGATCAAACAGTGATGCCTAAGATGTCAAAGCATCAACAAACCGTGGTGCAGGTGGGAACGGTTGCGGCTGCCAGGATAATCCTCAACTATTTTTTTTTTTGTTGATTCTTTTTTTGATTGATCGATTAAAAACCAGATAGTCAAAGGTTCCTTAAAAAAGACTTTTTATGAAATTAAACCAGATGAAAATAAAACTTTTCCATGTTAGGAGTTCTGGATAGAGCATATTGACAGATGAAAAAGTTTTTATATCTTAGATGCAAAATGTTTGTATATTTTTTCCTAATTGGAGTTTGGTACGGACGTGTTCCCAGTGCATGTTTCAACATGACAGAGGGAAGGGCTGCCCTATGTCACTGGTCCTGTTCATAACCTTTATGGACATAATTCCTAGGTGCAGCCAAGGGCCGGGGAAGGTCTGGTTTGGTGACGTGAAGATTTCAACCCTGCTGTTCGTAGATGACGTGGTTCTGGTCCCAAATGAAGATGAAGAACAAGTACATCAATAAAATAAAGAGAAATATTCTCAATCAATCATTTGGCTAAATTATAATCTATTGCAAATATAAGAGAATCAAAAATCCACAAAGTGGCAGTGAGCATTTTTTGTGAAATGGTGTATAGCATAATTTACGGCATTCAACATCTCACTGAAAGAAAACATATATAGATACCTGAACTAATTTATGTTGGGAGACTAAATTTAGATTAGAATGTATAGGTTGTAAACTATGACCATAAAATTGTTGACATTTTATCAGAGTAAACTGAAGTTCAATTTAGTTTTTGTGCAACAGAACCTTACTCTGTCAAGTCCTGTTTGTTAAATGCTTATTAATTTAGGTCAGGTGAGCAGAACTGGGGAAAATCTAAGTCATATCATGAAAATTCTTACTAAACGCATCAATAAAGAGTATTTGGGTGCACTGGAAAAAAACAGGTGACATTTTTGAATTTGAGGGTGTGTAACATAAGACCTTCTAGAACAGGGGTCTGCAACCTTTCATATCCAAAGAGCCGTTTTGCCCAGAGTCCGACCAAGTAAAAGTTGTTTAGAGCCGCAAAATGTAACATGACTTTTTCTAGAAAACCTTATTTTTTTTATCTTGTATAGGAAATTAGTTGTTGCCATCTCAAACAATCAACAATTCATGTATTTTTAATGTTAAAACATATAATTTTCAAGCTAATTCATAGAAAAATGTCTCTTAAAACATATTTCTGGTTCTTTTAATCTCATTCTTTTCCCACTTATAAAAAACACTAAAGCTATTGATACCGGTATATATTAAAGTAAATTATTTATCATTTTATATACATTTTAGCCACTATTAAGAGCCACTGAAGAGGGTCCAAAGAGCCATATGTGGCTCTGGAGCCGCAGGTTGCAGACCCCTGTTCTAGAACCATTGCTTTACATTATAAGTCATAAGCACAAGGCAGAATAATACAATCTGTGATCAAGGTAGAACACAGAGCGAAAAAAATGCAGAAAAGTTTTAATATCATATTCTATAGGTGTATATACATTTTTTAATTTAAACATAAGGAAAACAAATGATAATGCATTGTTGGGTTTGGGGGACCCACCAAAACCAAAAACTATAAAGAAATTCAACAGGTTTACCATCATGTTGTTAATGATGGACTGGTTAAACTAGCACACTGAAAATGAAAAAGACATATCTATAAATAACTCCATAAATATAAATAAAAATTTTGCAGCAACTTCAACTCTTTCATTTTTGAATGTATCATGATAAAATGTTATGCAGTGTGTACCAAGTTTATTTAGTAAATTTAAAGAATCACAATCTCTTTAACTATGTACCCCTACTGTTTAAAAGTATCAGCATTCTCTATGTATCCACACGAAGTGGTCATATTTCCAAAATGTCCCTATTTCATAGCGCTGAAATATGTCAGAAAACACAAGTCGAAAGAGTCGACTCTTTTGGGGATCTAAGCCAAATCTACAGGATCTCAGGACAGATGCCGGAATTCCCGCCAATAGAATTTACACTTTCGTGAGTGCGCATGCGCTGGAAATCCGTCTCTCTGATTGGTCCGCTGCGAAGAAGCGAGTTATGGCGGCGTAAACAAGGCGAGGGTAGGATATTTGAAGTGGTCCCTGCAAATGAACTTTTAATAACACAGTCACAGTCACAACAAGTATGTTTTCAAATAGTATACTTATTCCTTGGTCGGACACCATTAAAATCCAACCAACTGATTCTACGGCCGTTTAATAGTTTTATGAAGCTCATAGCAAGGTTTGCTAATTAACTCATAACTGTAAAAATGCAATGTGTCGTGACGGGAGGAAACGTGAAAGGTATTTACCCTTTTTCTTTCTGTTCAAATCCCTTTGTAGTTAGATGGAAAGCAGTATGCGTTGTTAATAATTGTTTATGTGTGTGTGTGTGTGTGTGTGTACCGTCCAGTGCTGGGAAAAGCCATCCACTGTCTGTCCAGGATCGGAGATGAGTTGTATGTGGAGCCACAGGAAGATGGGGTGAGCTGTTCTACAGCTGCTGTCAGATAAAACGACACTTCCTCCTGCCATGCATGCAGTCTGGTTTCTTCCTGTCAGTACAAACTTGCGTCAATGAACATCGCTGATTTAGTTGTATTTTTTTTCTCTCTCTCTCTTGTAGCTGGCCCTGCGGTCTGTGAACTCTTCTCGATCGGCATATGCTTGCTTCCTGTTCGCACCGCTCTTCTTCAGCAGGTGCAGCTTTAATGTTCCTGTCTTTTTTTGAGTGGGTCAGTGAATCTGTGTAAATACTAACTAAATGCAACGTTTCTGTGCAGGTACTCCATTCCCAAGGAGCTCAGCTTCCGCTGCAAAATGGCAATAAAGGTGTGAGAACAAAAAAAACAACAATCTAAAATGTAACCCTTTCTGCCTTGTTTTCTATGTTATACCACCATAAAGCTGAGCAGAAACTGCTCCATCATCATCATCTGCACTTTTCCTTACATAAGACATAATGACAAAGGTTTATTTCATGAACAGTTATAGCTACTGTTTTACACATACACCACAGACTAAAGGTTTTTAAGCCTATTTTGGTTTTTATAGTTCATGACAAAAAAGTTATTTTCAATAATCATGTTAATCAAATAATTAACATTAACATAAAATACTGCATCAAGAATCTAATCAAAAAAATACGTTGACCGTTTTTGTCCATTACTCTGGGTCATTCTGCTTAGTATTTACTTACCTTAAAAGAAGTTTTTTTTTTGGCCAAAAACATGACATTAACATATGCAAACTGTTATTCGCTTTTTTTTTATTATTATTTTTTTTTGCATTGAAGTTTTCAAAATCGTCACTTCCTCTAAGCTCTTGCATTGTTTTGTGTTCATTTTGTCTGGTAGCATGAATGCATACTTAAAATAAAGTAAATGGAGCATAGCAATGGAAGAAAACTGATCTTGCACTAAATTAATCCTTGAATTCCTTTCAGACTTTTGCTCTCTGGTGTCTAAAAGAAGTTGCCGTTTTAAAACTGCAAAGTTTAAACATCTAAACCCTCCCAGGATTTCTAGCTTTTCTTTTTTTTTTTATGAGATGCCAGCAATGATTTTTGAATGACTGTGTGGAGCCTCGAGTAAGGGAGCTCTGCTGCTTAGGTGGCTGTGGGAAGGCCACTACACATTTTACTTGTTTAAAAAAAGCAATATTTTGTTCTTATTGCACTGTATCCCTGGCAACCAAAGAGTGCCATGTCTGTTAAACAGTCAAAGCTTCATCTTTACCTGATATTTTCTGTACCACGATGGTACCAGAAGGTTGTGGTTATCAGTGTGAAACCTCCAAGCTTCCTGCCCCAGATAGTTGCACATGAACTCACAATGTAAATGCCTCCAATTTACTCATATATGGTTGAAATTATAAAAAGAAGGTAATATCCAGTGTTCCTTTTTTTCTACAGGACATGTAACACCTAAGAGATGATTTCCCTGCAGAAAAAGCTTCAGCCTCTGTTTAAGAGTTATTGTCTGACTTCCTGTTTTGTTCTCTAATTTGCCAGAGTGTGCAGACTGTCTTCAGATCTCTGGCAACTTTAGAAAAGTCGGTGGAAAAGTGTCACATCAGCCTTGATGAGCAAAAAGACCGCCTTACCTTCACATTGCACTGCAAACATGGTAACAGGGCGTCCCACTGGCATAACATTGCTGTTGTGTGAGAATTTCACCAGGAATTCTTGTCATTCATTTTTTATTACTAATTTGGATCGCTGTGCATTTATTACATTGCATTCCTGTGTGTCATTATGAGGTCTAAGGGTTTGTGTGTTGGGATGTTCTCTCCAGGACTCCTGAAGACACATAACCTGTCTTACCAGGACAGTGAAAGCTTGGAGGCAGTGTTTGATAAAGACAGCTGTGCTAATGTGCTCAGAGCCCAGCCCAGGTCTATAAATCTTCACTCATGTTTTGCTTTTCTTCTACAGCTCCTCATAATAAGCCTCACTAATACTTTCAGAAAATTTTTTTTCAAATAAGCTTTGCTGTCTTTGTTCTCAGAGTGCTGGTGGACACGGTTGCACACTTCCCTACGTCCTTGGAAGAAGTGACCGTGACGGTGAATGATGAACGGATGTGGGTCAGGAATTATGTGGAGGATGAATCAGGTGACGTCATTTGTCGTTTTCTATGTCGGGGGGGTTTCCCCCCCATTAGGCACATCACCGGATGGCGAAGCAAGAAAATAAATCAGTTATTACAAAAACACAAATTGAAACCTGATCTGCAGTTCTCTAGATATTAATTAATGTTTCCCTTCTCCCCCAACTTCGATTGGTCATGTTTTAATTTGAACCGTTTTAAAAGGGCTTCAAAGTCAAGAAGATTAAATAAGAGACACACTGTGCTTTAAAAAAAATATGAATTTAGTGGATTTAAGCCGTAATATGCTTTTGTAAGTAAAATAGTTTTGTCAAACTGAAGCAGAAGTTAGATTTTAATGCTGCCAACTTCCCTTCTTTTCTGTTTCCCTCTCTTAGAGCGCTCAAAGGTAATGCTAACTGAGCTGTGTCTGGCTGCCGATGAGTTTGACCAGTTTGCCATAAAAGCTCACAACAGCATCACTTTTTGTCTTAAGGAGTTTCGGGTGAGACAGATAATAGAAAGAAACTTCAATCCTTTAAAAAAATGACTGGATAAACCTTTTTTTTTTTACATTATCTTTCCACCTTCAGGGTTTGCTGTTGTTCGCCGAGTCCACTGGCCTTCCTGTGTCCATGTACCTAGATGAACCAGGCAGGTGAGCATACCTTTTCTTTTTATTCAGATCATCCTCCTAAGATAACTGCCCTGTATCTGCAGACCTGATCTTTGCATTTTGCCTCAATGTGTTTCAGCCCTGTGGTGCTTTCAGTAACAGACAGTGTTCTGGAGGGGAACTTTGTGCTCGCAACGCTTTCGGATGATCGCAGTCCTCCAAAAAGCAACAGAGGGTAAAACTAAAAAATCTATCAAATAGATTTTGATGGTTATGATTGTGTGAATAATGCGTGTAAAAGCGTTAAAACACCAATCAGCTGTCAGTTAAAGAAGGGGGGAAAAAAAGCCACAAGTCATGAAACAAAATGAAAATCAGATCAATAACTTTCAGGCGGTGTTTCCTGTCTGACTCATTTCGGAAACAGACAGGAAGTCCAGGGGATTAGCTCTTCTATGCCTCCTGGTGGATGATTTGAGCAGCGTTAATATCAGCTGGAAGTCACTGTGCTACAGACCCTTTTCATTTTGGCGACTACTAGTTAGTTAAAGGTAATCCACCATAATGTTTTTTCAAATTTACAACCCTTTTTCATGGATCTGAGCAACCGGCAGATGATTAGACAGCTACATAGCCAACTCCACAGGCCTCATTTAGCATTTTTTTTTAAGTTTTTACTTTCATAACAGTACATCATAAAAGAAATATACATGAATAATGTTTCTCTCAAAGTTGGTTCGATCCTACAAATAACAAAACTTTGGTGTTCCTATGACTTCCATAGCTACTGGTCTGCAAAATCCATCACCTAGGCTAGCAGATAGCGTTTTAGAAAGCCTTCAGTTCAAGCTTTCTAATGCGAAGGGATGCAGCAAATGAAGTGAGCCTGTTAATGAAGTTTTCTTGCTACTTAATATTCCAATCAACTGTTAGCTGCGTTATAACAAAGTGTTAAGCCATGTTAAACCGTCTGCAGCTTTCGGCAGTGTGTGTGCTCCTCAGATTGGCTCCAGGGCAACGTATCGTAAGTTTGATCAAATTCATTTTTCTGAGCAACTGAATGTCTGAGCGACTGAATGCATCACCATAAACACATCACCAAAAACCTAATGCCAAACTTTTCTAGAGGAAATAAGGCTACAATATTTTTAAGAAAGTGGAGGATAAGAATGTCTCTTAATTTCCCTCATGTGTTATAGACCACTTCCTCTTATATGATTGGTAATACACTGTTTATAGCGTACTTAAATATCTGAAACAGTTGCCAGGTTGGAGCCTCCTCTCATTAAAGTCCTCTATGTGTAAGATTGTATTAATTATTTGTCAAGCCCAGCATGAACACAGTAGCTGTGGCTATTCCCTGACTCTCTCCTTCTGATCGTCCAATCAGGACCGACGCAGAGCAGCCGCAACCTTCTGATGACTTCATGAATGATGACATGGATTCCTATCTGATCGCTATGGATACCAGCATAGCACCAGGTCCCTCTACCTCAGACCTGCCCACACCCCCAGTAGCTGCATCCAGAAAGCTCCCTGCACCCAATAATAGGAGCAGAAGACACAGTGAGGAGGAGGAGGAGGAAGATGGGGAGGAAGATCTAGAGAGACCGCCAGACAAGAAGGTACAGCTTCAGTTTCCTTAGATAACCAGGTGGCATTTGTTCAGGTTTTTAATTAAACACAAGCCACACACACCAGAGCTTTAATGATTTAATGTTGATGCTGAGAGTTCTTACTTTTATTTGGGGATTTTAAATAGAATCTAACTCTCATTTATGTTAATGCGTTTAACTGACAAAGACAAATCTAGTATTCTCACCTACAGCATGAGACATATTCAAGTGCCTCAAACCTCCACGGTGAGTCCGTGGTTTACATAGACTCATCATAACACTGAAAGGTTATTTATGGACTGAAAATTATGCAGACTCCAGGTTATGATGCTTTTGATGGATAGGGAAAAAAAATAACCTTGACCTTCCAGCTGCAGATGAGCTGATCAGGACAAAAAAAACAGGCATTTTGCAATCATACATTTCAACTTGGGATAGACGTTATTCAATTACAATGTATTTTTAATAAAAAAAAAAAAAAAAAACACATGTTTTGATTATTTTTATATTTGAACCCACATGAATTACTATAACATTTTGATTATTCTATTCTTAATGCTGCCAGTAAGTGTTGCTCTATGGTTAGTTACTATGGTTAGTTACTATTTAGCACTATTTCTTTTAACATATGAATTGAGATTTAGTAATTTAAATCATTAAAATAAATGTAGAAATCCTGTTGTTGTTTTATTGACACCCAGCCTGATTTGATGCTGATAGAGAATCTGTGAAGGGAGCTAAAGCAATGAGGCTTTACTGTGTCACACTGAACACGCTCATCTTTGGTGACCTGATCTGCATCTGTGTCTGCATGTCCTACCAGGACACCATCACATAGCGGAGCCTCTCTCTGATTGGTTGTTGCGGTGCATCAGGCGGGAAATGTTCAGATTTTCCATTTCAAGTTCCGGATGCTTGTAAAGCAACTCAAATGCTTAGTTAGATTCTTATGATGCTCCAGCTGCTCCAAGCTGCACCTCGAATCATCAGACTGAGCTGAACACTAAAGATTAGGGCTGAGTATTTTCGCCAAAGTCCTGAATCGATTAATTTCGATTCGATCTGTTTTTACAATAATGAAAGTGGTTCAGCTGTGTTTCAAAATGCTCATATATTTTATTTTTTTTCCTGTCACATTAAACACAAAGTGCAGACTTGTAAATCAGACAGTTTAAACTTGAGAGGTGAACAAAACTGTCTCATAAGTGCAAACTTGTTTGTGAAAAAGTGAAGCCTCACTCGAGCAAGCAGACGTGACACAGTGGGGACACAGCAGACATGCATGAGATGCATTATCTGCACAAACCATATTTGCAGCATTGTCTGTAACAACTACAGGGTGTTTGCAGGTCAGCCCCCATTTGTTAATGTCTTCAGTCAACCTATTGGCTATATTTGCAGCTATCTGGCTTGAAGTAATCTTGAGAGCATCTTTCCTACTCATTTGAATGTGAACGTCACACGCGTCACTATAAAACTAATCGATCTCATTCCCTAGACATCGATTTTGCAAAAATTTAAAGGAATCGATTAAATTGATTTTTTTTACCCAGCCCTACTAAAGATAAATCATCAGCGCACAAGTGGAAGGACTATCTACAAGACTTAAGTCGAGAAAAGAGGAAAGAAATGAACAATAAATCGACATGTTAACAATGTGACAGAAGAACTAAGCTTTACCTGGGCAACGTTTTGTTCCGTTTATTTTATTTTTTTGCTGCTATGGTTAAAAAAACCACAGGTGGAAACAAAAAAAAGGTGCTCTGTCGTTTTAGGAAGGGTTTAATTGCTGTAACGCTCTTAAAGGTGCTAACATTGATGGTTTAAATTAAAATAAAGAAAATTTCTATTCTTCAATTTTGAATATTCCTGAATCATTTCCAATCAGAAGATAATTAATTATCCTCATTTACTGTACAGAACTGCATTTAACTTCCTGGTGTAGCTCTGACAGCTAACTAGCCAAGGCACACAGCAACAAGCAGGGGAGGGGACATTTTCTTACTGTATGATCCTTAAGGCATATGAAAACATGGTTACTGTGAGACTTTTTTGCGCATGTGACCTAAAACATCCCTTTAGCATACCCTATAGTCAGTAACCATAAAAAATAAAGTTCTGCCTTCTAACTTTTTTCCTTTTCTCCCGTAGTTCCGTTCCTTGTTCTTTGGATCGGTGCTTCCGTCGTCCCCTCTGATGAGCACGCAGCCGGTTACAACTCAGGAAGTGCTGGCCAGCGACAGCGAAGATGAAACTGAAGCAGAATGACGATCAAAGAAACAGAGAAATCTGCAAACCTGACAGCGCTGTTAACACCAACACACCAGGATTACTCGAAGTGACAGAAACTGATGCTTTGGATCCTACTTTCTGCTTTTACTGGACCATTTAGCGATGACATGGACCTGCTTATACAAGCAGTCCTTTTTTTCTCTGCGGATTCTGGTGCTCATGTTGGACTTAAAAAATGTGAGGCTGAACATGAAGCGATTTGGTTTGTTAAAAACGTTCCGTCTGCCTGGTTGTTGGAGAAGCTGTTGCACAAAAGAAAATAAATTAGCTTTTCATATTATATAAACAATATTTATTAGTTATTTACATCTGAAACGGTTGACGTAAAAAGCGTGGTGGAGATCAAAGAAGCAAGGTAATAAAACCTAAAATCAGATGCTGGTTTTAAAAGTAAGATTCAGCATAAGAAACAGAGTGTCTATGGACCTGTGAGCCGGCCTTAGCAGGATGAGCAACATCTTCACAAACTTTCTCCTTCTGGGCTTGAAAACTTTTTCCCCTGGTCTGGGGTTTCCTCCGCTCCCTGTCTTTTTCCTTCTCTTTCTTCTTTTTTAACTTCTCCTCTTCCTTTTCCTTTCTATCCTGCTCCCTCCGCCGCCGCCTCCTCTCCCTGGAGCTCAGTTTCTCCTCCGTGTCTTCCTGGACCGGCTCAGCTGCTGGCGTCACGTCACTGAAGTCCTGAATCAGGATTTTGGGTACCTGCATTTTGGCCTTCTTCTTCTTCTGTTTGGCCTTCTCGGGCTGCTCTCCTTTCAGTTTGCGGAAGAGTCCGAAGCGCTTGGGGATGTCTGCCTGCTGTGCCGCCGCATCATCAGCAACTTGAGGAACGGTTTGTTCTGATTTCGATTCCTCAGGCTGAGATTCTGGTTGACTGGCGCTGAAGTGGGATTGCTTCGCTTTCTCTGCACCGCTGAAGAGATCCTCTGAGAGTCTGCGTGTCGAGCTACGTGAGACGGAGGACTTCCGCAGGCGGAAATCGCTGGAGGAGCGACTGCTGTGGCGTACAAAGCCTAGCTCCTGGCTGCTGTCGCTAAGCTCAGGAGGATCTTTGGTTTCCTGGTGGATTTCTGTGTTGCTGTCAGATTGTTTTGGTTCAGGGAAGACAAAGACATCATCTTCTCCTGCTTTGCTTTCTTGAACATTTTCTATGCTCCCTGCATCCTCCACAGCCTCTTGCACCGACTGTTCAGGTGTAGCAATGTCAGAGGTGCTTATTTGTTTCTGATCAGATTTATCTTTTTGGTCAAGGGACTCATCCTGGAGTAAAATCTCTTTATCTGCAGGTGATGAAGACTCCACAGCCTCCTCGTCTGTCTGAACGTGTATTTCTGATTCCTCTGAATTTCTTTGTTCGGAAACACATTCCTCGCCTTGTGTCTCTGCATGTCCAGACACAGCGGCCTCCTCTATTTGTCCATTTATCACTGCTTCTACTTCTTTAACGGAGATGCTTATTTCATTCTCCTCCTCTCCTTTGGGGCTTTCAGGTGGTGTCTGTGATTCTCCCTCTGTTTGTGTTGTTTCTTCATTCAGTTCGTCCTGCAGAGCTGCATTCTCTGCCAGGACATCAGTTTGTGTCTCTAAGTGGGTGTGTGCCTCTACTTTTTCTGTTTCTACCAGTGATTCAGAGCTGTGCTCTGTGATCGTTCCTTCTTCTTGTTGTTGTTGTGTGTCAGTTTTAGGATCCAGGTCTTGGTGCGATTCCGAGTCCAGGTTTGTCTCACTTCTCTCTGTGACTGCGTCTCGCTGCGGCAGTTGGGAATTTTCAGTTTCTGTAGCCGCCTCTGGTTTCATGTCAGCTTGTGTGGCCGGCTCCTCCCATGACTCTGTGAGAATCTGAAGCTGAGTCTCTGTTTTTGTGTCTATGTTTTCACTCTGAGTCTCAGTGGGATGTTCCTCCAACTCCTCCTTATTTCTATTATTAGCTGTAGGGTTCTCCTCTTCCTCGTGCATCTCTGTCGTCTCCTTCTCCTGCTCATTGCTTGGTTCTTCCAGAACATGTGATTGTTCTCTATTCTGCAGCATTCCTTGGTTCTCTGTTGCATTACTAATTCCTGGATCTCCATTATACTCATTGTTTTTGTTTCCTGGTTCTTCCAGAACAGCTGATCTCTCTGTATTTTCCAGCTTTCCTGGGTTCTCTATCAGATTTATTTGTAAGTCTGCACTCTCCTCTTCATGTGTGCTGTTTCCTGGTTCTTCCAGAACAGCTGATTTCTCTATATTTTCCAGCTTTTCTGGCTTCTCTATCAGATCTATTTCTAAGTCTGCACTCTCCTCTTCATGTCTGCTGTTTCCCGGTTCTTCCAGAACAGCTGATTTCTCTTTATGTTCCAGCTTCTCTGGGTTTTCTATCTGATTTATTTCTAAGTCTGCGCTCTCCTCTTCATGTCTGCTGGTCCCTGGTTCTTCTAGAACATGTGACTGTTGTGTATTTTGCAGCTTTCCTGGGTTCTCTGTCTCATTGATAATTTCTGGATCTCCACTATCATCATTATTTTTGTTCTCTGGTTCTTCCAGAACAGATGATAGTTCTGTATTTTGCAGCTTTTCCTCATTCCCTACCTTCTGATTCATTTCTCTATCTCCAGTTTCCTCCTCATGGCTCTGCTCATCGTCCTCCTCCAGAGGTTGTGTTTGGTTTGGATCAACCATCTCCTCACACTGAGAAGATTCTTCAGCAGTTTGGGATTTGTTTTCCACAGATTGACAGTCCTCTGTATTTTCTAAAATGATTGTGATTTCTCCTTTTTCTTTGCTGTTCTGCTTTTCTTCCAAAGGCTCAGCCTTTTTCTCTTCTTTCATCGTTTCTTCTCTCTGCTCTGTTGGTGAGTTTTTGTTTTCTTCCTGTTGATCTTCTGTCAGCTTCGCCTCGTTCTCTGTTTTCTGTCCGTCTGACGCTAAATCCTCTTCTTGGACACCTTGAACCTTCTTGAATTCTAAATCACTCCAGCTCTTCCAGTCCTCTTTTGCTCCCATTGAAAGATGCCTCACCACTTTTTTGCCGCTCTCCCATTCACTAGCATTGACTTTCCCTCCTTTCCTAAACCTCTTGTGAAGAAGGGAAGGAGACAGAGAAAGAGTAGAGGCGGAGCGGGCAAGAGGGATGGACAGATTCCCCGTTTGTCTTTCCTTCTTCTCCCGTTCTTCCTCTCGCTGTCGAGCTCTTGCCCACGCCATCCGATATCCGTAGCAGCGACCCCGAGGGTCGAATGTAGATGAGGGTTTGTCTTTCCTCCACCTATCCAACTCCTTCTCCGTCCGCCTCTCCAGGTCTTTACCTGAGAGCGGCACTGAACAAACCTGAATGGAGCAGAAGAGAAGACGCCATGAGGGACTTTGTCCAATCATATCACTCCACACAGCCCCTTTGTTTTCAGCTCCTGTTTATTCTAATACTTTTAAACTCAGTCTAACTCCAGCTGTTCTATGGAGGCCTACAGGTTTGTGAGAAAAAATTTGTGAAGCAGAAGACCAAGGAACATGATAGAGAGATCAGGGATGAAGCTGTGGAGAAGTTTAAAGCTCAGTTAGGACCCAAGATAAGATCCTGAGCTCTAAAAATAATGCAGCATTCAAACCATAATGAATGGAGGACGGCAGCATACAGCCTGCCAGGAGATGGCTCAGACTGCACCACAATGATTTCCTCCTTTTTATGGACATAATTTATGTGTTTTATGATAAAATATACATTCTTAACAGTTGTTGAAGAAAGTGTGAGCTCATTCTAGGAACTTATGTCTAACATTTTCCTTATTAGATATTTTAGCTGATCTTGAGCTTTACTTCACAGTTTTTTTTCTTTTTTAAAAGTTATTTTTTTTCAATTTAACAACTGTATTTAAGAAGTTTGAAGAATTCCAATCAAGCCACTTTTCTTACCCTGTAGACTTATATTTTTTCCTTAAAATGAGGAACATTTATAGTTTTTAATCAGGGACGCAGACCCATAGTAACTGTGGAGAAGCTGCAGAGATTCACAGCTCATTGGTAACTATCTATAGTCTGGAAACTAGCCATGCGCTTCATAAATCTGGTCTTTATGGGAAAGTCACAGGTTTTGCACTAAGCATTGAAGGGTAGATGGCAAGTATTGAATAGGAAGTACTCTGGTTCACACGTAGAAACACTAAAAAACCTGGACCAATGTGAAAATGTGGCAGCATCATGCTTTAGGAAGCTTCATCTCAGCGGGAACGGCTAAGCTGGTCAAAGTTGAAACACAGTGCGACCCTAAAAGAAAAGCTAATCTAAGGCAATAATAAACTCTAGACTGTAATGGAGATCTTCCATCCATTAGGATATAAATGCTTCAAACCAGAGCTATAATAAAATAATTTAGGTCAAAACATGTCCGTTTGTCTCACTCAGTTGGAGAATATTTGGCAAGAGTAAAATGAAACTCTTAATAATAAATATTTTTGACATGTGCCAAACTGGAAGAGACCACAAAATTATTTCAGCTGTGATTGCAGAAAAAATATG